TCCACAGCTTCCCTCAGTACTCAGTACTCCTGATTAGATCCAGTGTTGGTTTTGCTTTTCTGATTGATATTGAGCACTGTGTTAACAAACTCTTGGAAGTATGTATCATAACCCCATGGTCTACTTCTTGAGCAGTAATGGTTAGCTTAGAGCCCATCATTTTGTTTGTGAAGTTAGGTTTAAATTTTAGAAATCTGAAAAAACTTTCAGAAATCCAAGTACCCTATATCATCCTTTATCCAGATAATTCTTGATGAAAACTAAAAATCAAGGATTGAGTATGCATATAACCCAAAGGCTGGTCTTCTGCTTTCGGGATTACATTTAGTAATGTAACTAATGAGGACTAGCTGAGACACAGCTTATTGCTCTCTCCCCAACTCCTTCCCCCCCAAAGTACATGAAATAGAGGGGGTATATTTAGGAGACACGTGGGGAGAACAGATGATGAGCATCTCCCTTAACTCCATATACAGTGTTGACATGAGGTCTTGGCACTGGAATTTAGAGAAAGAATTGAAAAATGGGATGGCTTAAGGCATGGTCTTACACTTAGTGGCCTGAGTTCCTTTATGCTGAGAACAGATCACAGGTATTCTTTATTAAAACAGGGAGGAAAAAAAAGCAAAAATCTTTGTAGTTGGAAAAGAAATTGCTTTAAATTCAACATAGCATGCTGAGAAGCCACTATATTAAATGTGTCCTGTGTCCCAGGCAACTCTGTGGGATACCTCAGATGTATATACTTACGCAGTTCATAAGTAAAATGCTTTAGCAGAATGTGTTAGGTACTATATGCTCTAAGCTTAAACTATTTACGGTTTGATTTGGTGCTGGACCAAAAAGAGAGATTGGCAAGTGTTACAATTTTGGGGTTATTTCCTGTGAGGAAGGATTTTATTTCTGAAGGGGTAGGGGAGTTGTTGTTGTTCAAAGTTAAAAAACTTTGTGGACATGTGTCCATCAGATCTATGTGATACTAGGGTGACTAATGAATATTAGGATTCAGTATTTTGTTTCACAAATAGTTAAGCTTGGGTTGCTTCGGGTCTGTTGTCTCTCCTGTCTTTCCCTGCCTTAGAAACACACATGCAGACCAGTACCAGGGGCTGCTCTGGGAAGAAGCAGCAAACATTGCATCTCATCATAAATTAATGGAGTGGAAAACAAATGAATGAACATAAGGCCATTGTAAACGAAGCATGAAATATGAATGAATACTGCTTTACTGTGGTAAAAGGGAAATGGTTGATTCTTATAAAAGGGAAACATTAGAGATTGATAGATACCTCTAGGCAATTTTACTTTCAATTGGAGATGTATAGTAGCATTTGGGGGGGAAAAAAAGGTATTTTATAGCTATAAAAACATTTCTACACTATAATCTGTGAAAAACACTTTAAATGCAATAGGTAGGCCTCCTGCCTGATTCCATCCTGAAAATATGAAGAAGAATCCATTTCACACATTCATTACTAATATATAACTGCAGGTTCTGTAATTCTATTCTGGTAAAGAACCAGATATGTTACAGGAAAAGTAATATTTTTGTCCTTATAAAATCTTATGTGAATTTTGCAAGTAAAAAAACCTGATTGCAAATTAAGTTACACATTAAAATACAAGATTTCTTATAAAGATAATACTATAAATTTTAGTTTTGGTCCAGACAGGCTTTTTCCAGTATTTGCCATGACCAGTTGTCAACGTTGCAATTAAGGACTTTTTTTGTACTGGGTGTCCTCAGTGCTGCCTATTTCAGGAAGTGGTTTACCTATCTTTCAGGCATAATTTAATTTATTTAGTCTTGTATAATTCCTGTATGTGTTTCAAAATCTAACAAAATGTGTTAGGATAAAAGAAAAGCAAAAGTACTCATTTTGATTTGGGTTCGTACCTAAATTATCTCCAGCTTATTTTCCCTGTCTCATTTCTATTGTCTTGTTCTCGCTAACTGACTAAAGAATGTTTGTTTTACTCTATTTCACTTTTGACAGTTCTTCCTGTACTTCTTGAAATCTAAAACATCCTTCCTTGCTGTCAGTCATTTTACCCCATTTTTGTAGGCTTCTTACTCTTCCTATTGTTCTTGAAGCAACAATTCACCCAACTCTCATAAAATTCTTTCCCCATACCTGTGGCAATGGAATTGTTATTGTTCTAGCACCTTTGACTGCATATGTTCTTGTTCTCTTCTGCCCTGTGTGAAGAGTAGAAATTATCCTGGGGAAAAAGGGCTGGATTTGGGAATTCCTGAGTATTTTTGTCCTACTGCATCTTGCACTCCTACTGCAGAATGTAACAGTGGGATAAGAGAGCCCTTTTTTAGCTAAGCATTCAGTTTAAGGGTAAAAGTTTATTTCTAGCAGATGGGAGATACTCTTTGAACCTCATTAGTCTCAAAAGGAAAAAGAAGCCAAATATCTGGAAAACTGGTTTAACCAGGTTGTTGTTTTATAGGTCCTAATATCATCAGCATATTAACAACCAGTACAAATTTTTCCTAATTAGAGAAATACTTTTACATTAAGTAATACTTCTATATACATATAATTATAGAAACAGAAAAAGCAGTCTCATGTCCACTACCTAATTTAGTTTATTGGGACTGAGTATTGGTTACAAGTTCAGTCCTGTGAGATGAAAATGAATCCCATTGTTTATGAGACTTGACCTTCATTTGTTATGGAAAACATATTTCTTACCATCTTAAAAACTGTATGTTTGGAACTGTTAGAAAAGCAGCAGACAACAAGACAGACATCTTTCCTTCTAAATTGATGGTGCGTCTGCACTGAGGTGGTGTGGTTAATGAGGTTAATCTGTTCACTTCTGGTTCTCCTCACTCCCCATCTCCATCTTAAAAACTACAGAACTAAGGAGACTACACAAGACATAAGAATGATCAAAAGCATGAAGCTTCTATGTGAGGAACAACTAAGCAGACTAGGACTCTTCAGCCTGAACAGGATATAGATGGGAGAGATTGCAAAGGGTCTGTAAAATGAGAAGTTGGAAAGTGAGGATGAACGAAGGTTGGTTGTACAGTCTCTCTTACAGTGTAAGAATGAGAGTATGTCATTAAACTAGCAAGTGGTTGGTTCAAACCAAAACGTGATGGCTTTTCATATATTATGTTATTGTAATCTTTTCATATGTTATTGTAATTTGTAATATTGCTTATAAATTGTAGGAGCAATGACTTGTTTAGGTTCATTGTGCAGGTAACAGCTTGTCTATATAATTAATAGCAGCACGTAGCAAAAAAGATCTGTGGTCACTAGACAGTCATGGTATAGTATAAATAGCAGTATATACATCAAATATAAATTTTACTACTGCTATTAATGTATGGTAATATAGATATATATTTGTATGTTGCTTTATATATGTGCAATATATATTGCATATAATGCTATTTAATTTATTACTAAATTATTAATGTACCTGTTACATTGATATACAATACAGAACATCCATTCTATTTGTAATGTGATTAAGATTATTAATAAAATATTAATACAACAATATTGATATTGTTATCTAAGCTGCCTTCTCACGAGTGTTTATTTCATTGCTGTTTCTCCCAGTTCAGTTTTTTAATAAATTTTTATGTGGTTGATTTTTAACTAAAGAAATATATTTATGAGTTATGCTTTTAAAGAATCATATTCTTCTCCAAAGAATTAGCTTACATGGATATACACTTTTTTTGTAACAATGAAGCTTGTAGACAGTTCCTTCAGTATTAATCATTTGTAAAGCATTTTTGTTTGCTAATACTACTCATGTCTCATGGTTTGTTATACCCAGCATAGTGTACTATTCCAGTCTTGACTCAGTGGGTTGCTTTTGAAGATTGTCTGGGAGCTTTCTGTGATACAAACCACAGCTTCTTGGAGTAGACTGCACGTGTGCTGAGAGGTTCTCACCAATTTTTCTTATCCTGGTGTGACTGAAAGTTTTGAGTCAGGAATCTAAATGTGGTGGTTTTTCATGTTGGTCAGATTGAGACTTTCCAAGACTAGCAACAGTGACTTTGTAGTTAAGGGCAAGTTAACTCAGTTTGCAGAGACTTTACAGCATAATTATATAGGACTTCAGGATTGATGAATTTTATTTGTTGTATGGATTTTTGCCTTGAAGTGCTAGGACAGTAATATGGTTAATGAAACCAATTACTGGTAGATTGCATACCAGGTTAACGGAACCTTATCCAAAGAAGTGTGATCTATAAAATTATGGAGGAAATACAAACAGTATTGTTTCTACTTGCTCCTCAGCAAATAATGAAGGGCAGCCTTTGAGAAGCTCCAGAGGCATCTGGCTTACTGGGGGCATGACTGCTCTTTACGCATGACCGACTAACTTCACCTGTGCACCAAATTCAAAACATAATACTAATTTTCTTCAGTTCTTTGTATTTGCCTATAGATTTTTTTGTGTCGTGGGTGTGGATGTGAAATCTTGTTGTTGAATCCAACCCTAACTCTCCCTGGAGTGGTAATTCATCTTTCAGCAGTACGTACTGTACGTCTAAACCAAAAATATGAAACCTGATTGTTCTATATTTAGCTAAGTGCTGACTGCACATATTTGTATTTTACAAAAAAAGGACATTTCTAGTATGTGTTCAACTACAAAGATAAGACATTGTGAATATACATTTATATTTTTCTGTAAATGTACTTTACTTCCTGAAGTGTAATAAAATAAAATTTCATTCTGAAGGTTACATAAACTCCAGAATTATAAATAAGTCTTGTTCTGCTCAATAAGCTGGTAACTGTTCATGGAGATTCAAATTAAGGAAACTGTGCTGTGTGTTTTATTTTGTCCTTCTTTTTCTTTATCAGCCTGCGTACTGTTAACCTGTTTAATTTACAGACACATAGATAACCTATAAACCTGTTTCTGTAGATGTAATAGGTTTTTAATGTTTGAGATGGATGAAAGAATTGATTAATTTTTTATGTTTTATCTTGTGTTCTGTTCTTTAGAGTACTCGAGTAGCTTTAGACCATCTGGAGTCTGTTCCTGAGAAACTGAGCCTGTTGGAAGATTTCAAAGATATTGGAGTGAGAAAGATTTCATTTGACTCTTTCAGTAGTTCTAAAATATTTTGGTTAATTAATATCCTCTCCATATGTAGAGATAAATTGGTTAATAAGATATTTAAAATTACATATGTATATATTACATAGACAAAAACATCCAGAAACCTATTTTCATGTTTGTACAGATTTTTTTTTTAGGTTATTAATTTAGCTCTAGTTAGTAACACTGCTGAGATGCTCCATAATGTAAGCAAGCATTGATAACTGGGCATAATAGGTCAAGTCCTAATTACTGTTTCAGAATATTTATATTGAATGAAAATCTGGATATTGCTTGTTAAAAAATGAAAATTTTGTAAATTATGCCAGTTATTTCAATATTTAAAGTAGTGTGTGAAAATAGGAGAGCTTTACAGTTTGTTTTGTTTTGACATAATGCAAATAATTGTCACTTATTTTCCCAATATCATTATCAAACCAAGGTGTGTTTGTGTAGACACAATGGGGCATATTGACAGTAGTGATGGAGTACTGCCAAGAGTGATAAGCCTCAAATTAGATCTTCAGTGGCTAAATGGCTAAACCACTGTATTATTATTTCCATACATGAAGTTGGTGGTTTACTAAAAAAGAATTTGGAACCTCATTGCACAATATAAATTTTAATTCAGTATTAAATCACAGATCAACAAATGCATAATGATTTGCATTTTATTTGCTGTATAGAATTTCTCATCCTGAGGTAGTCATAAACATTTCAAAACATACTTGTTTGGAACATTGTTTTTTCTGTGTTCTTGCATGAGGTCATGTGTGAATAGTTGAACACTGTTTTGTTGCTGTCATCATCCACAAAGTTAGGAACGTAAATGCTGATTGAAATGTTTGGGTTTTTTAAAGAAAAATATTGTTGAGATGTATAATTTTAATTTCACATTCCAGGTATCCCCAGAAGAGCTTTTTGCTCTGACAGAGGTTGACATTTGCCTTCTGTTTCCAATGGTTCTGCACTGCTAAAGGAAAAATTCTGCTCTCAGCTAGGCAAAGCAGAAGTTTGAATGTGGGGTTTCTACAATCTCTTTCACACTTGCACTCTCTTGCTTAATGTTGCTATGAAATGACATTGTCATTTTCTGGTTTGCTGTAGTTATCACTTAGCCAGCATTCATGAGATTGGAACCCAAATTCTTTGGTTTGATTTGAGCTCTGTTCTTCTCCCTGATGAAGTTAACAGCTTTTTAAAGACTGCTTTCTTAAGATGAGTCCCTACCAACAATTGTGTATTATTTAATAAATTAGTTGTTATTTTTGCATTTATTATTCAACGAAGATAAGCTTTCTACCTTAGCAGTGAGAATGATGACAGTTTGGACTTTAATTAATTCTTCTATTTGAAAAGAGTATGTTGGTTTATTTTTTTTTTTGTACAATAGCATATTTTACTCTCAAGGCGTATGCATGAGTGAAGTATTTCAAAGCCTTTTGTTGCTTTCCACTGCTAGCAAGTTCTTCCCTCAATGTTTTCATGGCAAGAGAGAAGGAAAGAGAAAGTAAATATTTGATAATGCCTCACAAGTTGTCTGGTAGCTGTATTCATTCAACTGAATCATTAGCTGGTTCAGTGAGAAGCATTCTGTTTTCTTATTTGAAAATACCGTTTAATCCATATCATGAGAACACTTTTTTCTTCAAGTGCTTGTTCCTACCATATTGTAATTAATTTTTCACCATTACAGAATTCCTTTTATAGAATGTATCATATTACTGAATTTTGGAAAGAGTTACAAGAAATCACTCACCAGTTAAGGATGAGGCTGTTCACATTAACCTATTTTCATTTTAACATTACTTTCCTGTATAGAATCTTATGTTTTCATATGGCCCCTGTATTTCAACCTCTGTAAGTTAGTAATTAATTCATTCTTGCTGTAATGAAAATCCTTGGTGATACCTGTGTTTACAGTAGCCAGCCAACATTTTTAGCTGCCTTTCACATTACGTAATCATTCAGATCTTTCAATGCATTTCTAGGAGTCCCATTGCCGAAGGGAGCTGATTGAGGAAAGGTATATGAAGTATAAAGAAATAGTGAGTTCTCTACAGCAACAACTGGAAGATTCAAAACAAAGGGTCCAGCAATTCAAGGTATGTATTCGTACTCCACTTTTGTTTCCCCATTACTTTCAGTTAACAAGGTAAGCTTGTTTGGTGTATGTTAATTCCTAGCACAAACACAGACTAAAATAACACAAGAATGTTTCTGTTTTATGTAGTTGTCATGGCTGATATAAATTTGATGACAGCAGTGTTGTCTTCATTGTAAAGTTCCATGGATACTTTCCACAAATCTTTAAAATTTCACAGAAAAGTGTCTTACTGTGTCTTGATACTCTCAAACATTTACTTGCTTTGTTGAATTGCTGTCTACAGCATTTTTTTGATTGGTTTATACAATTTTCCCTTGTCCTTTCAAGTAAAAGATAAATATAGAAACCTGTTACTTCCATTAAAAGGTTGATTAATTTGTAGATCATGTATAGTGATTTTTCAGTAGCTGATTTTTGCATCTTTACAAAAGATACTGTATGATGTCCATTTCATACATAAATGAAATCCAGACAACAGAGGCGAAGTAGTTTGCTAAAGGTCACTCAGTGGACTGATAGCAGGGCTAGGCATAGGGTTATGCACATAACAGAACTCCCTGCAGTACAAATCCGGTGCTCTTGTTTAGAAACATTGTCTGTAATGAGTTCACATTTCCAATTGTTAACAGTTTCTTTCTCTTCACATTACCTTGTTCATTGTCATATCGCTTCTCACTGCGTGTCATTGCGATAGCAGCTTACTTCGGCAGACCTGCAATTTCTTATGGACGTGGTTGAAATAAGAGATCAGAACTGAAGAATCACACTAGTATTTCTGCTGTTTATCAAATCAATTCTTTGGCAGTGAATCTTAGCAGTGTCTCTAAGCAGTTGAGCTCAAAACCTAGGATCACAGACGATGTATCAAAAAACCCTTAAGCTGCTTGTGTTCCCCCCTGCTCCATAGCAGTCTTCCTTCTGTAAAATGAGGAATACTTACCAGGAGGTCCTTTAAAAAGTGTCAAAGGTAAAATAAATACAGAGTATTTTAGCTCAGTAAGTTGCTGAAGAAGGTATTGGCAACTTACATCATCTACCTGGACTTGTACAAAGCCTTTGGCACAGTCCCACGTAACATCCTTGTCTCTAAGTTGGAGGGACATGGATTTGACGGAAGGACCACTTGCTGGATAAGGAATTGGCTAGACGGCCATACTCAAAGAGTTGTGGTCAACAGCTTGATGTCCGAGTGGAGACTGGTGACAAGTGGTGTTCTGCAGGGGTCAGTATTGGGACCAGTGTTGTTTAACATCTTTGTCGGAGACATGGACAGTGGGATTGAGTGCACCCTCAGCAAGTTTGCTGATGGCATCAAGCTGTGTGGTGTGGTGGAGACACTGGAGGGAAGGGATGCCATCCAGAGGGACCTTGACAGGCTGTAGAGGTGGGCCCATGCAAACCTTGTGAAATTTAACAAGGTCAAGTGCAAGGTCCTGCATGTGGGTCAAGGAGATCCCAAGCACAAATACAGGCTGGGTGGAGAGTGGATAGAGAGCAGCCCTGAGGAGAAGAACTTGGGGGTGTTGGTGGATGAAAAGCTCAACATGAGCCGGCAGTGTGCGCTTGCAGCCCAGAAAGCCAATTGTGTCCTGGAAAAGTGACCAGCAGGTCAAAGGAGGTGATTCTCCCCCTCTACTCTGCTCTTGTAAGACCCCACCTGGAGTGCTGTGTTCAGATGTGGGGCCCCCACCATGAAAAACATCTGGGCCTATTGGAGAGAGTCCAGAGAAGAGCCACGAAATTGGTCAGAGGGCTGGAGCACCTCCACTATGAGGACAGGCTGAGAGAGTTGGGGTTGTTCATCCTAGAGAAAGGAAGGCTCCGAGGAGACCTAATAGCAGCCTTCCAGTACCTGAAGGGGCCTACAGGAGAGATGGGGAGGCACTCTTGATCAGGGACTGTAGTGAGATGACAAGGGGTAATGGTTATAAGCTGAAAGAGGGCAGATTTAGACTAGATATTAGGAAGAAATTTTTCACTCAGAGGGTGGTGAGGCACTGGAACAGGTTGTCCAGGGAAGCTGTGGATGCCCCATCCCTGGAGGTGTTCAAGGCCAGGCTGGATGAGGCTTTGAGCAACCTGGTCTAGTGGAGGGTGTCCCTGCCCATGGCAGGGGGGTTGGAACTTGATGATCTTTAAGGTCCTTTCCAACCCAAACCGTTCTGTGATTCTGTGATTCTATTAAGCTATTTCTAAAAAGGCATCTTGCTCTTCTGTAAGAAAGAATTGAAAGGAGGAAACAGGGCAGGTTCACTTTAATTCTCTTGCTGATGGTAATCTTGTTTCTTGAATTTCTGTTGCCTTTGCACAAGAGTTACTAGTTCAGTAGCCATTGAAATTCGGAAAACATTGAAAAGCTAAGTGGAATGCAATCAGCTGACAGTAGAATATAATATTGCACTAAGCTGAATGAGCTTACTGAGCTCGCGTGGTTTGAACTCTATATTCGGAATCCAGTATAAGGCTGATTCCAAAACAATATTTCCTCTTTCTTTAGACAGCAGGGAGCATTCAATGGCTTTCATTTAGTGAAGCCTAATGGGGTTTTTGCATGACATGCAGTGCTCTTTGCTGTTACAAATAGAACAGAATGTTCAAAAACAAGTAACAGATGAGTGCTAATCTGATTTTGGTGATCAGGCAAGCTTAGTCTAAAAAAACCCTTTTTAATGCTTGCCTTTCTTACCTTCCTTGGAACTAAGTCAAGTGCATTGTTTAATTTTACTTGTTATAGTATTTGTCAATTGGGAGGCTCTAAAATTGGAGGAAGAGTGTTGGCTTGAGAACATCAAAGTTCATTCTTTCTGATAGTTTTGGTTAATGATCTGTACACAAACATAGTGCTTCTGCTATACAAAATAAACAGATATTTGGCAGGTGATAAGAAAATGCATGTTTTAAAAAGAGGAAGTTCTTGTAGAATATTTACATTGACCATTTTAGATAAAATTACTTGTGGAATTAATCTTTCTCATCTGTTACGATCCTCTTTCTAGCCTTTCTTGTAATACACTTCTTTCAGCTTGCTTGGCAACATTAAGCTCGGATAGATATTATCTAATCCCATGTCCTAGCCTCTTTTTATTTTAAAGAGCAAAAATGAAACCAAAGTTGGTTTCGTAACTAAAAGCAGTTATTTTTTCTTCCTTTCTTATGATTTCATTTGTCCTCACTCAGTCTTCCCACTCCTCTGTAGTCTTGTCAGATGGCTGTAAAATACCTGTTGCTTAGAAGCCCACGAAAAGCACAATTGCTATTTGTATGTGTTAAAAGGTAAGATTTCCAGTAATAAAGAAGGCCAGAAGCTGTCAGAATATCATTAAGTACAAGAATTGTGATTTTTCAACTAAGAAAGGGCTGAGTGGAAACAGATCAAGAAGAAATTGGGAAAAATAATGTATATATAATGTATAAAAATAAATAAATAATGGAGAATACCAACTAAAGCAAAATCAAGAGAGAAAGCTAGAGGAAAATGAAAGATAAACATTTTGATTAATATTTTAGAACAGTTTACCTGCCACAAACAAGTGACCATGTAATCAAACACAGCATACAGGTGTAATTGTAAATGAAGCACATGAGACAAGGCACATCCTGCAAGTTAAAATTTCTGTAAAGAGAAAGCCATTTTGTATTGCAGATGCTGGTAGAAGCACGTTGCTTGTTTAAAATCTCTGTTGTAAAACAGCATTTCTGGAAGCAGAATGAGAAGACAAAAACTTTTTTTATTCTTTAAAAGTTGTTATTTTGCTGTGTGCACTTTAGGTAATAAGTCTCTCATCAGCACATAAGGGGATTAATGTGTATAATTCCCATTAGTCTTAATAGGAGAAAATCCCTCTTCAGTGATGGGACAAAAGCTTATTGTATCTCTAAATTAATGTTGAATTTTATTTTGTTTTCTGTTTAGTTTTCAATTCATTGTATCAGCATGAATGATAAATTACTAGATGTTTTAACAAAATTCCCTGAGGCTGTTTATGACAAGAATTCAGTAGCAAAACTGAGTGTTTTAAGAACTGATGCATTTGTGCATTATCTCTTCTCATTTCAAGAAACTGAGTAATTTGGATACTGAGCCAAGCATTTAATCTTATTTTGGGAGGTATTGCAACTGGGGACTACTTGCTGCAGTGCTAGTAAAGATTTATGGAGATTTTTGTTTAAATGGCCTTCTTAAAATTATCATCTTTTTTTTTTAGTTTATAGACCAAATTATTTGGCTCACCAAAAAGCTATGCTGTATGGGTCTAGCCATAAATAGTAACTTTTACTTTATTTTACTTAGTACTTCAGACTCTATTTAATAGTTTAACAAAAAAAAATGGAAAAGCAACTTTGGTATTTTAATATGAGAAGTCAATAAAGTTCGTGTTTCCTCAGGGAAAATGGATTTAAGTTTTATTATTACTTACTTGTGGATCACCTACTTACTTCAGTGAATTAATATGGACCATTCATTGATGAGTAATTAATCATTCACTGATGTCTGCCCTGTTGCTGTGCTTTGTCATGAACTGTGGATGTGATATAAACAGGAGAGAGAGCGTTTTGACAACTTATTGTAGTGACAAAAACTTGCAATGCTCCCAATGCTTTTCTCAAGGCAAAGCAGTTTTTTGCAGAGATTTTGTAGTGATTAAATGGACATGAAATTCTTAAGCAAATTAATTTGAACCTAGCTCCAATACTGAGAATTCTGAAAATTCAAGTCAGTATTTTCCAGCATGTATGAAATCACAGCACATACTTGTATGTGTGCTACTGTATGTAATTTCTTAAAGTTTACACCTGCTTGATATTAACAGCTAAAAATTACTTTTATTTGACTGCTATAGGATGTGAAAATGGATGCTGAAATTTCTGATATAGAAATGGCTGCTCCCTCTTCTAGCTGGCAAACTCAAAACAGCTTTTTGTCCAGCTCACTGCTCTTGGATTCAGGTTGTAAGTATTGTTTCTGCAAGTAATGTATTTGCTTCAAGTAATATATATATTACTGTAAGTAATATATTTTCCTCTTTTAAACCTGTTTTACTCAAGAGAGTAAGACACTCTACTTTTCGACAAAAAAAATGCTACAATCATCTTAAGAGACCTCCTGTATTTTAGTTTTAGATACGGGATGGGTGCCTTTGTCTAGGAAGTACTTAATTACATCCCACTGATAGTTTGGGTTTTTTTAACTGGGACGTACAATGTATTCTGTTTGTCATACAAACCTACACCAAAATAAATGGCTGCACTTGCATTCTGAATCTCTGCATGAAGAATCATGCCTGTGTATCTTTTCAGGGACCAGAGAGACATCCTCAGACAAGGATTCTCTCCCAGATCTTTCTTTTGTAACAGTTTGTCTCGTGCTTCTGTAGGAGTTTAACAGTGAAAGCTGAATTCACTAATTCTGTTTCTATTTCAATAGTTGTTTTTAACTATTCCTTCTATCCCGTAGTTCAGGTACAACTTGTGGTCATGAAAGATCATGGGATCTCTGATACAGCAAGGAACTGCTCAGTAAAAGATAGGACTTATTAGATCTTTATCTGGTACAGGCACACCTCTGTACAAGTGTCAAAACTATCTTAGAAGAAAAGGTTTTTAAGGTTTTTTTGAGCATGTCAGCACATGGATATCAGAAGGCTTTTCTTCAGAAGGATATCACCTTCCATTCCTTTTCAATATAGCCAGTTTGGGTACTGGGAACATATTCAGTAAGTTGCAGTCTATGTATTGGAAAGTCCTGTTTCAGGCTTCATTGCACTTTCAAACCTTTGCCTCTCAGAACAAGTGCTGCAGTACAGTACTACTCACCAGTAAGTCTTGAGTTGATCTGATGATGTTAAAGATAATTGGCTTCTTTTCCTTTCAGAATCTGTGGGCTGGTATTAGTGTCTTTGTGCAGAGCATACTGAATAACAGCAGTGGGAGCAGAGCATAAGAGCAAATGCCTCCATCTCATCTGTACTTCAGGAATAGTTTCCCCTGACTCAGAGTTCTTTTTCCATTTTCCCTAACCTCATCCACATCAAAGTCTTGCAAGTCAAAGTACAGCTCAGCCTGGTTGGGGTACAGAAAATAAAGAACCCATACTTTGCAGGCATGTTGGACCAGATGACCTCCAGTGGTCCCTTCCAACCTCAAAAACTCTGTGATTCCACTGCAAAATCTTGCTGAAATTTAAAGATGCAGCATAAATATTCCTAAAATATTACAGTAACTTTATATTGCTTAACCTGGATGGAACTTGCAAGGACTTTATTACTTTAGTACTTTTTAATCAATTTTAGGTAATTGTCAGAGAAATAGAATCCATGTGATCTAAATACCAATCTGATGCACCAGTTCTGGGTATTTATTCTCTGATTCAACTGTTTTTTACCAGCACTGAGCTTTCTGGAGGTAAAATTAAAAAGTGATGGATGAAAGACAGTAGTGATTCAATCTTGATCATTATGAAATACTTGCAAAGTCTTCAGCATTTGAGGAAGGCTTCTTTTGAAACCATGTTCAGGCATGTCTAAGGGACTTTTTTTTGTCTTGCTTAAAACTTTTAGGAAGGTATTTTCCACATCATAAATTAAGCTGATCTTCATATTTCATATTTTCCAAATCCTAGAATGGTGCTGACAGTGTTTTTAGTTTTATTCTTTTGCCCAGATGGTAAAGAGCTATTTTTTAAAAATAATATTTTTTTAAAAAAGCAAAAAAGTAAGAAAACAGCAAATGTATTTCACTTTTTCCTATTTGTTTTTAAGGGAAAGGAACTGGATATAAAACATCTTCAGAGTTTTAGTTCCTTACTTGTATTCTATAAAAATCCATTAGTCAAATTTTCTGATGCTAAAACAGAGAAGTAGACATGGAATGTTTTTCCTATCCCTGATTTTATTTGACTCTGATAGAATGAAAGTGGTGTTCTTAATTTCTCACTTGGCTGGTTCTTTTCTCCTAATAGTTAATGCTATTATATGTTCTTTATGCTTAGTAAATAAGAATGAGAGCAAGTCAGGTGCCCATTGAAGATGCCTGATGTCATTTTAGATGACCTAGAGTGTGCTTCTAGCTGTCATTCCAGGAAGGCATAGGTTTCCCATAGGTCCCATCACATCTTTCACAGCCCTTTTATGGGTGTCTGTTGTAGCTTATGGCTCTAATGTATATGAATTACTCCATAGGCTTTGGTAGTGACCAAATGTTTTAATTTAAGCTGAACCTGATCTCCACCAGTCAAATTTGTATTTTGAAGTTATTGCTGTAGTTCTTCAGGACAGTAAAAATTCTGCAGTGGTACTAACATTGAAGAGCTTTTATTGTAATTGCCAGTGAGTGGCAAATGATAAAATCAGCTACTTCAGTCATGTTAGTCACATAAATGCCATGAACTTTTAATTTCAGTAATGATATTAATTAGTTATAATTTGAGACTTTGACAGTGAAGTATAATTTGAGGTCTTTTGCTCTCAAACCTCCCGTAGCTTTTAATAAATCTGCTTATAAATGTCATCACCTATTTTCTGTGATAGATTAATCTCCTTCTTCAGAAACAGAAGAATGGACTTTTTTTTCATTTACCTTTTGGAGCAGTTTGCAAGCCTGTATGATTTAATGTTTACCAACTCTATCTCTCATAAATTCATGAAACCTTACAGATTATAGAGTCAATAAGTAGTACTAGAAGATCCCTTCCCAATGTCCATCTCTTATGACTCGTAGAGAGCACCAGGGAGGAGAGCAGACATGTTTGGTGTAATTTAATTTATCTGCAAGGGGGATCCTGGGATTTAAGTTTAAAATTGATTGAAGAAAGAGGAACAAGATGTATGAAAAAAATCCCCAGGGAACAACAATCTGCTTTCACATATATATATATTTAGCAAAAAGTTGCCAATCAGCAGGCAGTTAAAAGGAGAAGCATTCTGGTTTGTGTCTGCTCTTCATGTTTCTTGTATAACTTCTACAATTATAACATATACAATTATATAGCTTTTCCATAACAAACTATTTTAAAGATGCTGTGGGAATGAGCTTTTATTTTTATACCCAATTTCTTAGAAAGGAAGAAGTTTAACTGAGAAAATAATTTATACAAGGAAGCATTCATTAGACATGGCTTGCAGTCTGTATAATTATCAGACCAAAAGAGTTGGTCTAAAAAGTCACTACTAGTTGTTGTTATCTGAAAAATGATCCTCAGAAATTGTTTTTCATGGACACTGTATTTTTCCTAAATTTCATATTACAAAGGTCCCTAGAGTTACACATGCTTTGCATTGGCTTTATGAATTGGGTCCTGCCTTTCTCTTTGTACAGTTCATCACTTCAAGATTTTAACCTGGATGGTTTCCTAGAAGCCATATGGCTTTCAGGTTTTCTATTATTGATGGGAATTTATGTTCCAGGGCTTCATAAGCTGTGACTTTATGGAGAAGAAAATAGCCACCAGTTTTCCCAACTTCTGTAGCTGGGATCACAGTCTTCTCTGACCCCTTGGCTCCGGTGATACACAACACTCTTGTGTCAATATGCTATATAGTAGGAATGATACCATGGTTGAATAAACGAAGTTTTCCTGAATTTTGATTTTATTGTCATAGCAATTAACTCCTGCAATGTATGCTGATGTCTGTCTCTATCCCCCGTGTATACTTTTTCATAAGTTCTTAATACAATTTGTATTGCCAGTTATAAATTCGTAACTTAATTAAAAGTAAAAAGGCATTGTAACATCATGATTCTGTGGGACACCATTCTAGAACAAAACCTTCTAAGGCTGCTCAAGGATAAGAACCTGGAATGATTGGAAACTTGACATCATCACTTTGAAAAATGCAAATCTATTTAGTTTAGCAATTAATTTTCTTTATGCTTTTCCATTTTACTTTACCTTCATACTGACCACAGAAGGTACCATTGAAAGAGCATACAGGAGCATAGCTCTGGACAGATACTGAAAACTTTATGCTGAAAAATGATAAGGCACTGTTTTACTGACATCCCAAACACAGTGATTTCATTCTCCTTCTGAAAGTGAAAAAATCTCCTCCTCATAAACTGTGAAGACTTGCTCCTGATTAAATAACTTTTGGTTATATATTGCTACAATTTTACTGGACTATTAAAAAAATTGCACTCTGTGTATTTATTACAAACAATCAGGAAGGACCACTTTTCTTACATGCTTATGGTATAAGCAAGGCCATTAGAAGAAGGGAATGTTGTGTAAGTTGATATCCACTTTCATCCCCTTAATTTCTGCCTTTTGTTAAATAATTGCTAGATGTTTGGGTATGTGTATTTTTTTTTTCCTCCAGCACTTTATCATAAGATGTTCTGACAATTCATACTGTCTAGATTTTGATGCAATATAATGTATTTATAAATAAGCATTATATATGCACCCTGCTGCAAAGGTATGTACTCAGTATGGCATCCTGTGAACACCTGCTCAGTGTCACTTGTTGACTTTAGTCCGTGCTATTGGTAAAGATATTCCTTTGTGAATTTTCTGAGTGGTTTGTTTTGTCTTAAACAAAGATGCTGAAAAATTAAATGGAAAAGAAATGTTAGTGAAATTACCAAGTTTTAAAAAATGCAGTTTACATTTCTTCTGTATAAGAAAGCTCTTGGCCGTGCCTATATTATATTGTACTAAAATGTGTTTCTCTAGAAAATAAATCAGTTTCTCAATTCATAGCATTATGAATGCTGAATATTTTAATATCATATTTCTTGCTGTGTAAATTTTAATATTGTGTAATGAAATATATGTTTCATGTAAACATTGATGGTCAGCAAAATTTATGTATTTCTCTGAAGATGTTTAATTACTTTTTTTTTGTCTGACATTTGTAGCACTTACGAAAAGAATGGTTCCTTTCGATACAAGTGCCATCAAGGAAGATTCCATTAATGTTGCTGTCAGTGAAATGAAGCTGCACTCAGAAAGAGGGAAACAGTAGAACATTTTACAAAAACACACCAGCTTTGTCTGTGGTAAATTCCCTTCCACTCTTTTTTGGTTTTGAACAGTAGTAATTCCATCTGCTGTAGGAGTGATGCACCCTTAATGATTCAGCTATTGCCAAACACTTAAATGAAAGAGTGAGTCTAGTGAACTCTTGTGATAATTCATGTAACTTGTACACCAAAGGTTTTCTGGGATTATGCTATTGTCTTGTATCTGTTTCTGCAGTCCTCGTAAACTAAATTTATTCTATTCATGAAATATTATGGAATGAAAGACCTGTGACATTAAGCTTTGCTATGAGCTTATTGACCCCTGTACAGTAATTGTTCTGATATTTGTTTTTTTATAACATTTAATAACATTATTAATAATGAAAAATATTCAGAAATTACCTTTGTCCTAATATTTATTATGCGAGTCATCGTTTAGCGTTGCCCAGACAACATTTGTGATTTTAGGTTTTTGGTTTGCAACAATCATTAAAGAAAGAAGTAATAAATATTAAACAAAACCAAATTTCCTCAAAATTAGTGGAAATAGGTATAATGATTTCAGGTTCAGTGTATATCTGTTATAGGCTGTTCAAAATCATTCTAGTGAACAGAACAGTTTTATCTGATGACCTCTGGTTAGGCACTTAACAGCACCTGAATCTCACCCATCTGTATAAAGCATGTTGAAGGGCAATGCTATGTGGCTTTGAACATTTTAATAGCAGGGTTTAATGTTCATATATTTATTCTGTTTTGTATTAGAAGAGATGTGTCATATTCATTTAAAAATGTTATGGAAATATAATATTGCACAGTTGTATTTGTTCACATATCTCTATTCTAAACAAATTGGATACAATTCTGCGTTACTGTGGTACTGTGGTCTCAAACAGCACATCACAGCAGAATTTTTTGCTGTCAAAAGAAATGCAAGTGTTTCTCATGATCCTGTTCTCTAGTGCTTCTGGTTGAATCACAGCTAATGTGCCTTGAAAAATTTGCCAAATCTATCAGAGTACTGTAGCAACATGAACACCACTGAAACCATTTTGGTTTGGAGGCTTCTTTTATATTTAGGAAGCCTGAAGCACTGTCTTTTTTTTAGCACTATAGGTGTCTCAGACATAGTTCGCAGGTTGCTATGTGCTACTGCAAAAGAGGACCTTTCCTTTTTTTTCTGGAGAAGTGTTCTGCAGTCCTGTGGGTTCTCTGGACAGTGCACTTACTTGACAATCCCCTTGTATTCAGCCTGTTTCAAACAGGACTTCACGCTGAGAAAATCAAAATCAGACAAGGAAATGAGAACAAAAAATTAAATTAATTTTCCTTTCATTTTCTACACACTTATATTCATTAAAATTAAAAATAAAATCTAATTTGGTTAAAAAAGTTTTCTTTACCTTTTGTATGTGTATAATGCTATGTGTTGTAGTGCTGGCATTGGCTTTTTGCAGACTTGCGGCACATGTGCTCATTCAGAAGGTCAAGAAAGCAAAACAGGCACATCCATCTCTTCTGATCTCAACAGCAATGACAAGGCCAAGACAAAAAAGTAAACAAATAAACTTCTGCTCTGGAGAAGGCAGGACAAATATAACCCTGTTTGTGTCGTGGTCTACAAGGAGTGTGGATGTCATGAAACAGTGTTTAGCTCAAGCCACAGTTACCATAAACTAAACTTACTTTATATCCAACATTTGTAACTTTTTTTCTTTTATTAGATGAGAGCACAGCTGGAAATATGGTGTTTAAAATATTTTAGCTGTTTTTTTCTGATGAAACATTAAAAAATAGTAATTTTTTTTCAAAAAAATATGTCACTACTTTGCAGACTTTATCAAGCCTACAAATTATGGCTAAGAATATAGAAAAGTAATTTTAAACTACATTATAAAACAGTAAATCATGCTCTCAAAATACCTCATGTTGTAATGAGGTCTGATGCAGGGATTGCTGGTGGATAAATGTATGCCCAATGCACTTTACTGAAGTTGAAATTAGTTTTGAGGTAAAGCACTTGTTGGTAAATGAATGGGGCTTTAAGAGTCTCAGCTGAGAAGTAATACACAGGAAAGTAATGTCCTCTCTTTTTCCTGAGGAATTTGTAAAAATTTGGATTTTGATTGCTCTTACTATTTTATGTACTTACACATTTTTTTCCTCTTTTGTAACTCAGAAATCTGAAGTATGTTTCCTTAAAACAGCATCACTACTGCTTTATAGTGTTAGAAAACTAAGGATAAGCAGTCTGAACTCCTTCACTATTACATCAAGTGTTGAATTGATTTTTATACAGTGTGGGACAGAAATTACTACTAGATGAATAATTTTGGCTTTAAGACTTTCAATATGCTCAGTGCTTAGTATATTTGCCTTTGGCTGTGTGACTGGTTTTTCAGCAGAGTTTTATATCCTTTTTTAAAATTTTCTGAGAGGGCTCGGGAACAGAAGGGAAGAAGTCAAACCACAAAAAAAGAAATTTTTAATGAGTAGACTTCTGGACTCCAAATCCAGGAAATTCTTTCTTAAATTTACCCTCCTGGCATGGCAGTCCAGATAGCGTGTCATATTTGTCTCTCTTCCACATTTGATAGAGGTTCATATTACAAAGTGAATATTGTTTCCTTTTTAGTGAAGGCTAAAGTTCCGTTCATGACATTATGTGAAACTGTCCCTTTGTGGTTTAAGAAAGAATATTTTTTCCATATTGGTCTGAAATAATATTCCTCTGACCAGTTTCAGCTTTTAAAGTAGAAAACCAGATAATTTTTAATAAAACATTTTGTATGTTTCAGATCCTAAAAATTGCTATTCCCTCTGGTAATCAGATTTTTTTTGTAGTTTAACCTTTTAATGACCTGTTCATCAATTCTTGCCCAAAAGAGTAGTTTTCACTAATCAAAAAATGTGGTATCACACCTAAAAATGGTGGTTTGTTTCTTTGTTCTGTTCAGCATTTGGTAAATCAGGCAACTTTGCATGTGGGTACTAAGTACATAGACATTTAACAAGCTAATATCAGGCATCCATTTTTCTAATGCTGTCCTAAAATACAGTGGTTCAGCATCGTGCTTTCAGAAATGTACTGGCCCTTTATTTCAGCATCAAATAAATGTCACTTGAATCACCTTTAAATTTTATGCCCTTTAGTTTCTTAATGTTTTACAGCAGACTTAAGAATACTTAATTGTTTTTGAGATGGCATTTACTAAATATTAAAAATAAATTATTTTTACTGTGTAATTGTGTCATCCTAAGAAGAAGTGTCAAAATAAAAATAAAACTTAGTCCAGTCTAAAAAATTAAAATTTTACAGTGTAAACCAAAGCAATTTTCTTACATTTACTTCTCAAATTTTTGATGGAAGCCAGTCTTTGGTGATGGTGAAAATACTCCTTGGATATTCAAACTTCAGACACATTTTTACTAGCTATCCCACCAAAGAAAATAAAGAAGATATATTAAAATTCTTTAGAACAAAGAAAATGCTCTTCTAAAATCTGCTTTTGAGCTAAGGAATCTGCATATCAGTTCATCTCTGGCTTACAAGGCATAATCTCTGCACTGTATAGCACTGAATGGATTTTTCATGAAAGAAAATGCCAATATTACCCTCAAAGTAAACAAATACTTATTTTTGTAACACTGATGTCATTTTTATGGCTAAAAATTAGTAGTATACATTCTCATATCTACAACACGCAGAAGAATTTATTCATAAATTTGTGTGGGACTGTTTGCTACAGTCGAATTTTACCATGGCTCTGTTAAACTCTTCATGTTCAAAGTGTGTTAATAATATATTTATCTCTCTAAGCCCTGTCTTCACCTCACAGAAGTAATTGGTACTGAATTTAATGTGAGCTGCAGGCCAATATCTGGGCATGCAGCATTGTCAAAAATGGATGTGCAGGAGGATATCACACAAATTCATGTGTTATTGATCTAATTGTAGAATTTAGCAGATGTAGAGGAAAATTAGTAGTAGAAGGAATGGAAAGCAGCTCATGATTAAATTAAAATTTCACAACACTTTTATTCTTGGTGTCTTAATTTAAAGACTGCTTTAGAGCTAGTATTTACATCTAAATCAGTGATCCCTAAATAAGATTCCATTTTGGATAAATTACTTTTTTGCATACTAGAATACTTTAACACAACTCATCTTAACTCTTTACTGTAAGCATGTCTAGGCTGTTGTGAGTATGAACTGTTTTGCTTTTCTATGTGAAGAACTAAATTAGATTTTAAATCTGAAGAACATTCAGTGCTGTATACAGAAGTACAGCAGACCAGAATCTGATAACCTCGGTCTTTCAAAAATCTGTAAACTAATGCCTCTGGGAATGTTGACAACAAAAATGAGAGAGATTGTTGTGGTAAAAATACAGCAACATCCAGCATTTATAATTTGTGCTAACAACAATAGCTCTCGTGTTTCTAAAGCTAAAGTTGCACATCTGACATTTCTCAGGCTGTAAGAATGAGAGTTTGCTTTCTCTTGCTGTAATAGTGGCAAAATCTGTAATGTCATGAGCCTTGAGAAAATATGCAATTATGAAGTTTTAAAAAATTCTAGTCACTTTATTAGGAACCTACTTGGTACTATTTGGAACTAAGTATTTTTGGAACACGTTTGTTGACATGTTTTCATTAAAGTAGTACATTTATTTACAAGAACTGCATAAAGATATCTTTTTTAGGATAATTTGGCTATCTTTATTTAGGAACATGGCTCCTTGATAGGTGTTTTGCTTGAATAAATACAGCAATTTTTCCCAAGTTATCTGTTATTTTCATCTGTCTTCAGACCAGAGCTGTTTTGATCTTACATTGCTTTTCTTATCTGCCATCTGCAGTGCACTAGTATGTCAGAAGACATACCGTCATTTCTTCACTTACCACACGTTAGTAATTTTGGTAGTTGATATGCCCAGGGAACGACATTAAGAATGAAGGCAGTTCTTTCTTATAACATAATCTCCTTTCATATGAAATC